AAATGTGCCCTCTAGAAATAGGAGGCCGTGGGAAGCCTTTGTCCCTTTCCTCCCAAATGAAATGGCCTTTCAGGAGAGTCTCTTCACATTGGAGAACTAGGTACAAAACATAATTTACAAGAATGGGTGAAAGTCCTTAGGAAAAAAGAGAGGAGCTTACCCTAGCAAACACGGAGCTATCTCCTACCTCTGGCTGTACCAGTGCAATCTGACGGAGGTTCATGAAGCACTGGCAGAGAAAACCAAAGCTGAACAGGGCAGCCACAACCTCCCTGGTCCCTTGAAACCAACACTGGTGTCAGCTTCGCTCCACCAAACCCCACTGGAAGTGATAGTTTTTGAGGACTGGAAACACCAGCCACAGCCTGGCTTGTGATTTTTTTTCAGGCTGTGCAGTTTTGTGACCATGTTACCTCTAATCTGAAAGGAAAGACACATAAATGGGAAAAGACCATTACTGTTTCTCACAATAGGGCAGCTTGTATGGATATAGCTGAACATGTATGGAAGAGTTTGCGGGTTACTAGATTAAGTCCAATGTACTTCTGACTGATGTGATGAGAAGGACTTTGATTTCAGAGAGACATGATCTATACCAAAACACTGCTGAATTATGCAGGAGAGGACTACATTACATAGTAGCATCAGAAACAGTTGCTAAAGGAACGATGCTTCCACCTGATACTGAAAACAGCCCAGATACCCGCCATGTGATCATTTCTGTACATTTTGGTAGGCTTACAGGAAATCTATCCATGTCCAAATTTTAAAGCTTGATGAAAAAAAGCTGTTCTATGGTTAGGAGCAGGTTCATCTTTTTCTACCTCAACAACTGACTTTATGTCTGACTGTGGTAGTAAAGTAGGATCTGGACCAGGGTCTAGGTGGCAGGAGATGAGGATGTGTTTAAACCACTTTGAACTTCATGACTCTATCATGTGGTACTGATTATTTCCTCATATACACAAGAGGAATTTGAAAGCCTCCAAAGCCTATTCCAGCTGACAGACTATTGAGCAACTCACATATATCTCTAGCTGGGCCACGGGCAAAACTGAAAAGGAGAGTTTAAGCACAAGAGCTTGCTGAGAAAGGACAGGTGTCATGTTCCATTTTATTTTCTGCTGGAAATTTGTCAACTCCCCTCCTCTTTTTTTTCAAAAAAGAGAGAGGGTTTCGATGAACATTGGGCTTGAATTGATGAACTTTCTGTGAAAAGAATTTTCATTTCTTTGGACACCAAATCAGCA